CCCTCCTCATTTCCCCGCAGGCCGCAGAGTGCCCCGCCCGAATGAGGCATACCGATCGGAAATACTTTCTCCTCACGTGAGTCCGGCCGGCGCCGCGGAAGCCATCATCGTTACTCCCGTAGGCGTGGCCGCCCGGCTCCACCGCGGAACAGACTCGCCGATACTCGCATACTTTGGAAGATTAACGTGTTGACTGCGGCTCATTTTTTATTTGGTGCCCATGACAAGGGGGCGTGGTCACATAGTGGTCACGCTGCACTGAACGCGTCACATTGCCGCAAAGTAAAGCTCTGTTTAGCTACAAGACCAATTAAAGTGCACGGTGAGAATCAGCATTACCGTATAGGCCGTCTTCATCAAAACCGAAACGGAAACCGTCAATCTTTATCAAAACGGAAAACTTTTACCTTTGGCCCTTCGACCCTTCGGCTTTCGGGTTGAGTCACACAGGGGACTATCTAAAAACGTTTTTAATCGTGACGTAAGTCGAGACTGCGTTTTCTATGTAATTTTCTTACATGTAAGACCGATAATTTACACCAACTCCAATCGACCAACCTGGTGCTCGGGCGGTGGTGTGACGCCGTGTGACGGTTGTAGCCTCGGTTGTAGCCCTGAGAGCCCGGCGCAGGGGCTTGGGGTGATAGCGAAAGGGAGGGAGACTAGGTCAACGTCAAGATGGCCATAAAGCTCGCCGTTGGAGGCAAACTCGCTCGGTGCGGCGGTCAGGGACCACCAGGGGCCGCTCCGCGCCTGCGGCCCCGCCACGCCTGACCCCGTTTTGTTTCCCCGGTCGGCCAGACTTTAGCCGAGACGCAAACACCTTCGGTGCTGCCGCGTTGCTTGCCGCGCTGCCGACCACCCCGCACGCAACGCGCGGCCGCGGGTGGAGAGCGTGCGAGAGAGATCAACAGGGCAGCGGGAGCGAGAGAGACGGCGGCTCATGAAGGGGTCGCTCTCCGTCTCTCACACGGGGAGCTTCGGGCGAAGAGTTCTCTCACCATGTCTCCATCCCTCTCTCGCAGCGCCGAAGGCAGATAGGCAGCAATAACCACCCCGATGCGGAAGCCTTGCGCGGGTCCGGTGTGTGAGGTGAGGGTGGGGATCGAGGTGGGGATCGTGTGTGTGGAGGAAGAAAGCACGGGGTGTATGCGACGGGATTAGCGGAATTGAACTATACTTTCACTCGTTGTCAGCGTCGCCTACACTGTAAAAATATTTTTTGGAAATTTCCAAACAATGAACTGGAAGATTTGCAGCCCAAACAGTTTGGAAATTTTGAAATCCAAACAGTTTGGGAAACACTATATTCCAAACTTTTCGGAAAATCTCTATGAAATTTCTAAATTTCTTTGAAAGTCGTTATTTTTGTTGTTTTAAAACACTGTTTTCGTGTAAAATCGTACCTTTCTGTTTTCCAAATTGTTCGGAAATTTCCCGCAAAATGTCCGGAAAACCACAATTCCAATAACAATGTTTTGGAAAACCATTTTTCCAAACTATTTGGACAGATTTTCTTTGGAAAATTCTGTACAGTGTACGCCATCCTCGAAATTTACAGTGCCGCAGTGCCGTTCACTCCTTTGCCTGGGCATGCATCTGCACCAGCCTTGACCCTCGACCTCCAGCCCTCTCCTCGGGGTGGTCACTAAGGCATTAAGGTTCAGGGTTGATTTGTTTCCCCTCGTTCCTATCCCAGCTCGACCCACCCAGTGGTCTGATGAATTGAGAATGATGACGGCTTTCTGGTGGAGGGCCGGCTTTGTGACATTCACAGTCGAGCAAACTTTGGGTGGCAGCAAAATCATGATGTGGAAGAACCCAACTCTTTGGGAAGTCCAATCGAGAGTTCATAGTCTCAGGGCTAACTACCCTTGGACTGGATGACCGAGGGTTGGCTCGGGCTCTGCCCATAGCACCCTGACGTGTTCTTCGTACCCTTCACTTGACCTTTGCGGCTTATCAGCTCGAGCTGCCCCCCCCCCCCCCCCCCTCTCTCCTGAGTCCGCCCGAGTCCGGCTCAAGGCGACCGTAAGGCCGACACGTAATTTGCATATTATCGCTGAGGAAGGGAAGGGGCGCCCGACTGGAAAGACCTTGCCCAGCCCAGCACGCCCCGAGTCCGGGGGCGCGTCCGGGTGCGCTGCGGCCGGTCGGGTCCGTGCCGTGCAGCGCAGCGCGGGCCGGCCAGGCTGGGCGCTTTCGGACGCGCCTCCCGAGTGAGAGTGGCCAGGGGGTGGGTGGGGGCGCGGCCGGGCGGAGCTGCAGTAGCCCACGCCTCGGATCCTTGGGGTAGTTTGGCGCCCCCTCGGCAAGCCCCCGGCGACCACCCCTCTGACGTCAGACGCAGCGTGCTTGATGGCATCCGGTCAGTGTGGCTGAATGTGGGGCTAGCGTGGCCGCGGCTAGCAGCGCTCCGGGGGAAGGGAAGGGCCGCGGGTTGGCGGGGCGGAGGAGGGGGGGGGGGGCTGGCCACGGCATGAGGGCGGCCGCTGCAGGCCAGGCGAGGCGGCCGCGGGCCAAGAATACAGATCTCGCCTAATTTACGGCACGATGGCCGAGCTATTATTTCAAGACACTCGCGGGAATAAGAATAAGGCAGTATAGGTGGGTTACCGCGGCTCTCGGTCGGGCGCATAGGGGACGGGGCCCGGGGCCCCTCGGGCAGGGCGAGACGCAGGATGCACTCACCTGATTCCTGGTCGTCGGATCGCAGCCGAGGTCCACCATCCGGTCCAAGAAGGCGGTGCGGTTGTCCTTGACGGCGTACATCAGCGGGGTCATACCGGTGGTCTGCGGGGGAAAAATAATATCTGGAGTTTGAGTCAAAAGTCGCAAACGTCGGGAAAAGGCACAGAGAGTGAAATGTTGCGCATATTTGCCCCATTACTTTTGGAACGAATGCGATTCAGCTTTTTTATTTTCACCCAAAATACAATCATATCGTGCATCTGCCCGCTCTGCTTTACAGAGCTCTCGGCCGAGTTCCGTTCTCAGCGCGTGTGGTGAAATGGTAAGGAGCGGTGACCTTGGCTCCAGTGGTAGCCGACGGCCGCTGCTATGTGCAAGGCCGGGGGATTTCCCGCGGAAAAGAAAATGACGTCACGGCGGTGGCCGCCGCGGCCAGTTTACGGGCGGAACATTCATCACGAGAAAGACACGGCCGGCCGCGGGACCGCGAAGTGCAGCCCCTCCGCGGGGGGTTGCAGCCAGGGTTGCACCATTGTCGGTAAGATCACCCCCGCCCCAACCCCCTCGCCATGGCCGGTCATTATCTCAGACGCGCCGCCTCCGAATAACACTCTGCTTATCCTCCAACTTAATGGGCCCCGCGGCGCCGAGTTAAGTAGGGGCTCGTTTATTCGGAGACGGCCTGTCCATAGGGCTCTAGCCAGGGCCCTGGCGCACCCCGAGGCTGACCCCAATACACAGGGCCGGCCTCCCGCACGCCATACCCGCAGAGCACGGCTGTAGCCGCCAGAAAAGCTTACCAATTATTTCGATGATAACTTTTATTATTATAGACATTTTCACCCCTAGAGATCTCCCCAAAGAAACTCTGACTCACATTATTTGTTCTAGTTTTTGAAGCAAATTGGTCTTTTACAGTCATGCGAGTGGATCAGCGTCCAGCTCTTGCAGAAGAATGCAGGGAACAAAAAAACGGAGATCACCATGCTTTTACATTGGACTTCCGTTTTCTTGTTCTCTGCATTCCTCTGCATTTCAGCTTTACCCGAATGCTTTATTGAAAAAGTTGTAATCCAGTCCAAATACTTCTGAAGATAATAAATTTTTGACTACGAAGAAACGTTGTGATTTCCCCCCAAAATCACGAAGAGTTCTGGCAACTTTTTTCACAACGAATTCTTTGCGAAGTTTTGACCTTCTTTGTAACAGTGTCGAGAGAATGGGCACCCCCGCCCGCAAGTGATCGTGTGGTACGGTGTACCTCCGTGTCGTATGTACTCACCGGGTCCGCGACGCCGGCCAGTGGGAGGGTGACCACGTCCTCCCCGGCGCCCGCAGGGTCGGCTTTGGCCTCCGCCTTGGCCGCGGCCACGGCCTTTTCCAGACTCTTGAGCGCCTGGTCCACGGGCGGCCACTCGCCCTTCTGGCACATGGACAGCAGTCGCAGCGCCGCATCCCGGCTGGTCGCGCCCGCGGACCCGGGCTTCTTGTCTGCGGCCGGCGCGGCTGCCGCGTCCGCGCCGCCGTTGGCCGCGCTCGCGTCCTCATCCTGGTCGGCGGCGGCCTTGGCCGGGTTCTTGTTGGTCTTCTTGTCGTCGCCGTTGCCTCCGGGCGGCCCCGGTGGCTTCTTGCTGCTCATGGTCCAGGGGCCCTGGCCCTAGCCTCGCGCAGGGCCCCGTGCAGGGCAGGCTCCGCGGTCGCCTCGGGCCTCCACTCCATGGTCCGCCGCCCCGGTGCGCCGCAGTCCGGGCGCGGGGGAGCGGGCTGCCGTCACTGGGGCCTGCGGCTCCGCCTGCGGACAGAGAGAGGAGAGGACGCTAGAGCTCGCGCCAGAGCGAGGAGAGACGGATGGTGCCGGCGGTGCACGGGCCGGGCCCGGCGCGGCCGCGCACGTGCGGGGAAGCCGTTTTAGATTTGTTTACATCTCAGCACCGAGCGGCGTTTGAGCCGAGCGGCGCTTATGGTTGACGGACATACACGTTGGGCAAAGAGCTGTCAGCTGTTGGCCAACATGTTGGCCCCGCAGCGCCGCCGCCTGTTTCAAACAGACATTCACATTTGCGCTGAGCGGAACCGTCTGAATACGGCTTTGCCGTATATTCCACAAGCGCGCCGCTGAATGATGAAGACGAGAAACGCACCCCTCCAGGAACACGAGTCTGCCCAGCTGAAACAATTACACGCGGACACAGTGCTAATTCTGAAGCAGCAACCGACCCCGACTCGCAGAGCCCCCAACACCACAGCGCGGCGGGCCTAGCGGCGTGCTTGATGAGCCGTCCGACAGGTACGTGTTGATCGTCCCGCTGCAGCACGAACCGCTTAATAAGTCCCTCGCGCTGCACCGCACCGCATTCAGTTAGGCCCAGTGCCCCGCGGCGCGCCCCCGCAACCCCCCGGGGGAACCCCCACTCAATAACCTGTCAGCCGCATCCCATCGGCAGCGCGGCGGGAAAAATTAAATCTGACGGCAAAGAGAGAGGGGGAGGGGTGGGAGACAGGTGGGAGACAGAGACAGAGACAGAGACAGAGACAGAGACAGAGACAGAGACAGAGACAGAGACAGAGACAGAGACAGAGACAGAGACAGAGACAGAGAC